TGGTCCTGGAGGCACCACAACACTGCACATTTTGCATGTCTCCTTTATCTGACATGCCAGTTTCAGGTCTTGGAGTCTGTACTAATGAGCTGATGACCTGAATCAGGTGTGTTTGATTAAGGAGACATGCAAAACATGCAGTGTTGGGGTGCCTCCAGGACCAGGATTGGGAACCACTGATCTAGAGGATTGACTTCTGTGCCATGAATAATGACTGCTGTGTTCACCTCTGATCCCGTTACATTCAGATGTCACAGAGTTCTCGCTAATCTACAAAGCAGCAGAGAACAGCTAAATCACTTCAGAACATGTTATGAATGTAAGAATTTTTACATCTAACCAGTAAGAAATATATCTAAGCTATACAATAGGGCTGCCAATCAATTAAGGCAAGACACCACAGGTGAATAGGATAAAACATTTAAAGAAACGGTTCACCCAAAAATGAAAATGTACTCGCTCTCAGACCATCCAAGATGTAGACAAGTTTGTTTCTTCATTAGAACAGATTTGGAGAATTTTTGTTAACTTCTATCAGCTGTTTGGACTCTCATTCTGACGGCACCCATTCACTGGTGAGCAAGTGATGTAATGCTACATTTCACAGTTCTTTTGAAAAAACAAACTCACCTACATCTTGGATGGCCTGAGAGTGAGTAAATTGTAATTTTGGGAACAGTTCCTTTAACTAATAGATACCACACAACTTCCCCTGTTGACTGATTACATAAAAAATTGCAAAACATTTTTTTTCCTGAAATGTGATGTTTGAATATGCAAATTTAATCTAATTAAACAAGCACTAATTTGCACAGATTCAAAATTCTTGTTTCATTTGCTTACATATTAGAGCCAAAAGTTTTTGCATAGGGGATTTTAGATCCCCTCTTTTAATCACTTGATAAATCAGAAAATACTGTCAACAGTAAGAAAAATATGCTTTCACCATGGTTTTAGGAATAAAATGTATAAAATCAGGAAAATTATATATGAACAAACCCTTCAGTAAAACCCTTTAGAATAAAGTTTAGGTAAAGTTTGGTGCATGAAAAAACTCTGTATGAGAAAATCTATAGATGCAAAGTGCAATAATAATAATAAAAACACTTAAATGTGTCTCTTTTGGATGTTTTCTTTACACTAGTCTGAAACATACAAATAGCACAAAATCTCAAAACTGACCAGTGCATGAAAAAAAAACAGTTTTTGCCTATAGTGTCTTGCCCTTTTAATAAGTCTTAATGATATGACTGCAGACTCACAAAAAAACACATGAAGGTTGTTTAAGCATAAATGGCTCAGACAATAAGGAAATGCCTTATTACACTATTTACGTATGGATTGGGGGTATGACTATATGCAGTAATGTTTTTACACCATGTTTTGTAAAATTTACGTTATAATCTGACAGCCCTATATAAACTTCTTATATAAGCTTTCCGACCTTCTAATAAAAATAAAAAAGTGCTTTTATGTAAATCACATCACTATGGTCATATACACCAGGAGCTCTTTCCTGAACTTTTCAGCTCCTGAGTTTCAGAGCACCAAGCATCCGTCGTCAAACGGGGGCCATTTCCACTCCTGTGTTTGTTTGTGTCAGAAGGGCGGAAACCTCCGCTGCCCTGTGCGTGCCGTTGCTCTGGGTGACAGGGGGCGGCCTGTTTTCTACGCTGCGGATGGTGTCGGGGCAGTTCTGTACAAAGATGATCCTGTTGAAAGCCTTCAGCCTCCTCCAGAGCTGCAGGTAGACTTTGCACTGAATGTACATAAAGATGAGTCCTCCAGCAAAGCCGACCGCCACCACGATGAGCTTGGTCCAGAACGGCCACTCCAGCACCCCTACGGCATTGAGAGGGGACAAACGCACCAACGCTGTGTGTGCAATGACAGCATGGCATGGAATTACAGCACTATATTATATTATTTTCCAGCTACTCTGAAGCAGAATTGCTTCTGACACGGCTACACAAGGGCTTCCACTGAAACACTGACGCATTACACAACTATATCATTGCATTAAATGGTGCAGCAAGTCATTTTTGGAGTTTTTTTTTCTCTTGCTCTAATTTGTCCCAGTTTTCTTGGACTTTACACTGACAATTACTGGCCCTGATGAATTCACTTTTTATACATCGCTGCTGCTTCACATTCAATAGCTGTCCAAGTTGAGTATTATGAGACTTACAGAGAAGTACATGTTTTGTTCTAGAACATAAATTACATGCAGTCAAATTATACCTCAAATGTAAATTTCGCTACAATTAGCTATAGCATAAATTCAACTGTTTAAAAGGAGGGTACCTATGGTCAAAAAGTCGGCCTGACTGAACAGCTCTTTACATGGGCATTTACCAAAAAAAGGACATTCTTCGATTCAATACAAATAACATTTTAATAATTTTTGGTGCATTGGAAAGGCAGGCAGCATGAAAATTATTATAGTAATATTTCAGGTTAAACAATAGATTAGATTAAGCTCAGATCAGGATTATTATAGTTAACAAAAAAACATTTTGTTACTTGTTAATTATTATATATTTTTTTCAGCTAGTTGTCAAGGCAATCTTTCTCATTTTTATTTAGTTTAACTTGAAACTGAAAAAAAAACTGAAAAACACAATAACTAATACAATTAAAAAAAATAAAAATGAATCAAACTTTAAAATTAAAATGGAAAATAAATGAAATCTATTAATCTATTCAATATTATATGAATTCTAATTTAAAATATTAATCAAACCTATAACAGTGTCTCAATGATACAAAAATAACTCTGTCTCAGATGCTGACCAACTTAAAGGAACACTCCACTATTTTTGAAAATAGGCTCTTTTT